TAAAATTCGAGCTAGTGTATTAACATCGTAGGTTTTGGTATTTACTGGCCTAATGCACCTATCAATTAATGTTAATCTGGAGGCCGGGCAAAGGCCGGGGATTTCACAAAGGAAGTCGGCCCATGGTGGGGACTTTTGATTATCGCCAAGTCCTGGGGGGGTACTTTTGAATTTCATCTGTTTACTGATGCCAGCATGGATTTGAAGCTGTAAAAGACCTGGGCCAGTTGTTCAAAAAGTGCATAATGCTATCCACCGGATAAATCTCTATCCAGTGCATAGCGCAATTGGTTTCCCTAATACTTTCCACTGGATAGTGATTTATCCGGTGGATAGTGCTATCCAACATTTGAACAACCGGGGCCTCTTGCGGTACGGGTATTTTTTATGCACATGTGCAAGATGGCGGCCAAGAAGAGCATGACATGGTATCTGTTTCTATTCTCTCTATCATTTAAATGAATACATCCATCCATATACGTTATTGTTTTAAGAAGTTAGGCCCTTATTCAGTATGACTGCATGATACAAATGTTTTGCCCGATTTTGAAAGCAGTAAATTTGCTTGTTTAACAGTCTCATTCGTTAAACTGTGTAGGTGGAAGACGTTCCTTCATGATATTGACATTTCACCGAAGCACTTTAACGATAATGGTTAAAATAAAGGGAAGCAACTTTCTCAAAAAGCTGGTTTGTTTTTTTTGTTTCAATAAAACACATTTGACCACTAGTCTTAGTTGGAGAGGTGGGAAATTTGTTCTCTTTTGATCAGTTATGATGTCCCTGGGGCTGGGAATTTGACATAAAAAATTGCTTCAAGTTCAAATCCCTGGCCGTTGCCTGGCTTCCCTCCCCCCACCCCTCCAGATTAACATCGGTGGGTGCATAATGTTACAGAATTATTAGCTTTGACAGAAGCTAACCTTTTTACCCTGCTAACAGATTTGGCAAATTAGGGTAAAAAAACCACAAGTACATAAGAAGGTGGTATCTACAAATTATTATTACTGTATTCATAGTGTCAAAATCTTCAAATCCCGCAGAACCAACTCTTCAGAAATCCATTATGTAACTCAGTCTGGCATTGTAAAATATAAAGTGGAGGGAATTCATATTGAATAAGAAGAATATAAGAATTTTGTCTCTTCTGTAATCTTGCTATCAGACAAAATCCAATGTCCTCACATTGTGTGTCTCTAAAACTTAGTTTTGTACTTTCAGGTTAGCACGTTTGCTACCAAAAGACATCTGTTTTATTGCCATAGATTTTCCAGGCCATGGAAAATCTTGTCACAGATGGCCAGGAATGCCATACACTATTTTTGAATATGTTGCTGATGTGAAGAAAATTGTTTCTCAGCTTGGCTGGAACAAGTTTTCCATCATAGGACACAGTATGGGAGCTAATGTAGCATCATTATATGCAGGCACTTTTCCCTGTGAAGTAAAACAACTGATTCTGATTGACTATTCTGATTCCACTGTGTATTATGCTGATAGACCAGCCCTTACATTGGCCCGTTATGCAACAATAATGTCAAAATGGAACACAGTATTTCCCCGTGTTTATCAGAGTTTAGAGGCAGCTGCTGAGAAACGTGAGGTTCAGAATCTTGGTACTACCCTTCACAAAGAAGATGCAATGTTGCTGGCAGAGAGAGGAACTAAACCTATAAAAGAAGGAATAATTTTTTCCCATAGTCCATTGGTCAGAGAAAATGTGGTACCACTGATTGCACCTCAGTGGGCAGTAAAGGCAATTCTTTCCAAGATTCAGTGTGCAGTGTTGGTGTTAGAAGCTACAGATACTGTGCACAAATATACTCAAGTTAGAGAAGCTAACTTAGAACGGCTGAAGGTCATTTGTGAAAATGCAAAGTACAAAGCATGGAAAAGGATCAAAGGTGGTCATCAAATCCATCTAGAAAATCATGTGGTGGTTGCAAAAGAGATTGAACAATTCTTAGCTATTAAATCACTCAGTATTGTACAAAGCAAGTTGTAGTATGAAAGGCATGTTAAGGTGCCTATAATGATCTCTAACAAGGAATTCTTTGACAACAGTTTGTTAGTCTTTGCATTGTTTGCAAGTTTACGCAGATATTTTTAGAGACAGAATAATAATCTTCATCATACTTATTATTCATTTCATGAATTATAAATATATGAAATACATATAATTCAATGAATAGAATCAGTCAAAATAACAGAATATGTCCCCAAATCAATATAATCTGGCTTAGCTTATACAATACATTCATTACTGGGTTTTTAAGGTTTGTCAACTAGTTTATTTGCTACAGACTTAGCAGTTTGTACAGGGGACAAAGCTCACCCTTCTCCTGAAAAACCTTCAACCTTATTTTCTTCTGTACCCAAGAAATTAAAACTTCATGGAAAATTGTCCTATACAGTCAACTCTCTCTTAACGGAAACCTGGTGTTCGTCCCTTCTATTTTTCAGTCATTTTAATGTAACTATGCTCTCTGTATGGCAGATACCTCTTTAAGATAGACAACAGACACTTTTTGTAACCGTCAATGGACACTAAGAAGTTCTTTATGTCATGCAAAATACCTCAAAATGGAAATTTAGGTGCTCTACATGACAGTAACTTGCAAAATGTTTGATATTTTGTAGTCTTGCTCCAGTTCTCAGTTTGTATACTGTTACGCGTTTAGACCACAAAGCAGTGAGCATTTACTTGTAATGGACATTTGATTGCACATTGAGAAAATAATTCCACTTTTCTTTTACAATTCAATTTACAATGTTCCAGTTTAAGCTGTTTTGTACAAGTTAAACTGACATGTATTCATCACAGCTTTAAAATCACTGGTGTCATGTTACCTCAACTCTCTATAAGCCGGACACCTCTCTAAGACGGACAGTCAGGGCCAATCCTGAAGGTGTCCGTCTTAGAGATAGTTGACTGTACATGATATTGAGCTGAGGCTGAGCCTGGAAGCAATGTTCTTATTTTGGGGGCATTTGAGCCTAAAAAATGTTCTTAATATGTGCTTAATTTCCCTGGTACTTTATTTTGCAGATAGTATTGCTGGGTTTTATTTTTGTGATTTCAATAACTCCTGGTTTGTACTTGATGTCATGGTTGCCATGCTGGTGGTGAAGAACAAAAACATTTCTTGACCTTTCTCTCCTCTGAGAACTAAACTTCATTTTCATGTAAATTCTTTGAGCGAAAATTAAATCGGTTTTGACCACCAACATGGCTGTCTTGTCACGTGGTTGCAACCAAGAATAGGCAGATATGAAAAAGGGCATTAAATTCTGCGAATCATGAGTTCTCAGCTTCACTTATTTCTTCAAAATGTTTGAAGTTTTTAAAATTTTTGGAAAAACTGGAAAAAGGAGATGAAGCCTAAACTTTCGTTGAAAAATGATCTTTATCAAGAAGACCGTGAACCCCTCCAAAAGTACGCATTTTGGACCTACTCTGACCGTCACGATTAAAACGGAAGCCTGGGAACCGCCTATCGTCCTCGTTCCCAGGGTCCTCACCGTCTTGCTCCTTGGTAAATTAAAAATGGCGGGTGCGTTGTTAGGGAAAAAGTCTTTTAGAGAAGTCTCCTTTACAGCTTCCTGGGGAGTCATTGCAGCAAAGTCGTGGGGACCGGATGACGGAAAACCTTTCCTTGGGCTTCATGGATGGATAGATAACGCCAACACATTTGACAGGTAATTAAAAAGCGATGATGTAACTTTTTGATTACCCTGCGAACAGTCTCCTTCGACTCATCTAGGAAAGATCGAAGCGACTCTGCTAGCATGGTACGTTTTAATCTGCTGTCATACTGAATTAGGTATCCCACTAGTGATCTAGGTATCCGTTGATCTAGATATTCGTCACTTTTCGGGGACTGTCGCTTTCTTTATACAGGAAAAAACTAATTCCATAAAGGGGCAAAATGACCGAGTTTACGCGACAACATGGCCAATGTATGCGCCAAATATAGAATGTAGAACGAGAAAAAGATTCATCCTTTTGCTGTTTTATTCTTGCTTGAATCTACAGTAAGTTGGCTAAAACCCAGAAAATTACTAAAAAATGTCCCCACTGTGACACCATAAACTTCCGATTATGACCCCTCCCCCCCCGCCCCACTTATAAGCCCTTCCCCCTCCCGAATGTAAGCCTCCCTCTTGCTTGTTTTGAAGCGCATTGAGGATAGAAATGCGCTTAATAAGAATCTATATTATTATTGTTATTATTAAATGAAGTCGACTTTTCATGATGTTATGAAGCTTAAGAACGTGATCAAATTCAAAAAGTATTTTGATCAGCACTGCTGTGTACCTTGTTTAAAACACCTTTTTTTGTCCGGTTACAAGTGCCCCACCCCCCACCCCCCACCCCCCTGTCTGTAAGTCCTCCTAAAATCCCCTACAAAGGTTGTAGAAGCCCAGGGCTTATAATATTATTGGAAGTTTACGGTATTCATTTTCCGTGGCTAAAAGATGCACCCAGAAATGACCAGTATTTCCACTTCTTCGTTCTTTGGGTATGGAGATACCCAAATCACAGTGACAACGCAGTGCTTGTGTTTTTTTTAAGTCGCTGACGATCACCTAGCTGGCTTGTTTAATGTCCCAAGCCAACCAAGCGAATTGCAGCAGAGTAACTCGATAAATACTAAAACCCATGCTGAAAAGAAATGTCTGCTTGTATGGTAATTGTCGCGATAAACTTGTTTAGTAAAACAGTTTCAAGTAAACACTTCCTTTATATGTATAAAAACATTGTGGGATAGTAAGAATTACATGAAGGCAGAATGCATTCTGAACATTACACCTATTCTAAGCTGTACCTTTAATTGAAAATTGCATTTTAGCCATGGTATTTTTAGTCTGTAGCATAGTTTGTGTTTTAGACTGACCAGATGTGGGCCTTAGTCTATACTTTTTCCATCTAATAGTTAAACCCCTTATAGATGAGGTAAGAGAAAAGACTGAAAGTATTGACACAGTGCCCCCCCTTTTTCTTCCTTCACCCTCAGAAATAAATTGTGAAGCCTACATAAGAAAATGCCATCTATAGTGGGTTTTGGTTATTAAACGGTATCAAACAATGGTATATTGAAATGGTAGACATTTTTAAATTCACATATGATGTTATTAACTTTCAGGTTAGCTCACTTGTTACCAGAAAACATTCATTTTATGGCTATGGATTTTCCAGGACATGGAAAATCTTCCCACAGATGGCCTGGTATGCCATACAGCTTTTTTGAATATGTCGCTGATGTTAAAAAGGTTGTTTCTCAGCTTGGATGGAGCAAGTTTTCCATCATAGGGCACAGTATGGGAGCTGGTGTGGCATCATTATATGCAGGAACTTTTCCACATGAAGTAGAAAACCTAATATTGCTTGATTTTGGTGGTTCACTAGTGAGTTTTACCGAAGAAAAAAGTGATGTTTTAGCACAATATGCTACTGAAATGTCTAGTACAAAAGTACCAATTCCTCGGATCTATCAAAGTATTGAATCAGCAGCTGATAAAAGAAAAGTGTCATCAGTTGGTCATATCTGCCAGAAAGATGCATTGTTGTTGACTGAAAGAGGAACCAGAGTAACTGCTGCAAATGGATTCATTTTTTCACATGATCCGATGGTCAAATACTCCTATGAACCATTTGAAGCTGAAGAGTTGATGACATCCATTTATTCCAATATTTGTTGTGCAGTATTGGCATTAAGAGGCACAGATCATATATTTGGCCCTAAGGTGCAGTATATGTGGGACAGGTTGATTGAGGCCATTTCCCTAAGTGCAAAGTACAAAGAAAGTAAGAAAGTCAGGGGTGGTCACTTCTTCCATCTAGAAAACCCTGAGGAAGTTGCTCAAAAGATCAAAGAATTTGTAGCTCGCTCCAAATCAAAAGTTTATGCTTTGACTGAAAGCAAGTTATAACATAGTATGGTTAATAAACCCTCTTTTTTATATGTGCTGCAATGAAATATATAAATAATTTTTGTAAGATGTAGCAAGTTAAACTTTCTCACTGCAACTGATAACAAGGAAAACTTGTCAAGTTGGGCGTTTTAGTGATAATAAACATATAATGCACCTACTAGGGTATTTGTTGATTATAAACATTCAAAATGATAATTGTTCAATTAATGTTGGTGCTAAATTTACGTTCAGCCTGTATTTATTGTTGATGTATATAAATGACAAATTGGCTAGGTATTAGCCTGCGTTGCAGCCGTCCTACGCACTTGTCTAGACCATTTGTATAGTCTCTATACAGAAGGTTTAGAGCGTCTGCAACGCAGGAAAGCTAGGTATTGGAAAATGTTATTTTGGTAATGTAAATACACACATGGGTGCTTCGCGTTCCTCATTGATTCCCATTACCAGGGATGATGCTCAATGGGTTATCGGTCATCCCTGCACTTCAATTTTATTTTCACTGAACAGTTAATTATCTTGGCACAAGCTGTTTTTGACATAAAATTTAAAGGAAAATAGCTTCACAAATGGAGTACGGTGTGATTCTTCGCAAATACAAAAAATATTTATTTAATGAAGCAGAACAAAATTTTATGACAGTTACTTCAATTTGTAACTGAATCAGAGTTCACAAGTAGTTCTTTTCCGATGTTGGTGTTTAATATGAAGTACATGCTTTATAACAAACCACATCAAAATACAAACAGGACAAATCCTGACTTTTATTCCGTAAAATAGTACGATTACAAACATTCGTAACTCTGCAAGCTACATGAGAATTTGTTTACTTGAAGAAAAGCTGTAGAGTACTAAAACGCCTACCATGAGAGCGTAAGAAACCACGCGCTTTATACTCTTTGAAACTTATTACCCATATTTGGGTAGGTGGACTAGTGCTTTTGCAGAAATGGGAGATAGGATAACATGGCCTTTTAAATTTATGTAATGCTCTGTAATTACTCATTAGTTAAATAATATAATGTAATATTATGTATGCAAAGTAGTTTAAAAAAGTGAATTTATTGGGTGAGCTTGCCAATTTATAAAGCATAGGTGCTCCAAGCTGGAACGAGAAAGGGATTTCATTACTAATATAGAAAAAACGCGTGCGGCAATTGCAATTGCGGCTGCGAAAAAAACCAAAGATTACAGTTAGAGAAAATCTGAAGAAATAACACGTACTGTTCTTGGGATGAACAGATAAAAGAAAAAAGTGCAGCAGCTTTGAATTACTGTCAGTGTGACACGTTGTCCCGTAGGGGAAATTTAAATATAAGTTTCTCCAGTTTGATCAGTACTTTAACAATATTTTTTAACTTTTAGCTGGCGTAGTAAACATTTAGCGTCTCAACAGAGGGCTCTGAGTTTGCGGCCATGGCGTGTGGCAGTGGCTTGTTGAATCCTTCTTTTCCCATCAACCAGTACGTTTTCCAGAAACCACGCCCCTAAATGTTAACAAAAACATCAGTTACCCCCAAAGGCGGTCTCTTAAGGTTCACCTTCAGTGAGGCCATTAAGGAATTAAGGGACGAATGAAAGAAAAATGTCAGAAAAAGGGAAGTTGAACACAGAAGGGGAATCTGTAAATTCCAAACTTTACCAAATATAAATAGTATCTCCCAGGTAGGGATGAAGTTTTCCTAATTGAGTTGCACTTCCACTTCTGTAAGATTCATCGATTACATCTTCTAATGTCATCATAGCCAATCATGACTTTGTCATGAATATATTAAGGAGTGTAACTGATGCTTCCTTCTAACAATCCAAATAACAGACAGACTATGGGGCTGTTCCCAGGCCTATTCGCTAGGCTTGCTCCCCCAGAACCAAAACTGCGTCACTTAAACGTAACATAAATCATTTTTGTTATTATATGAAAACCCAGCCAGCCCCGTTAGCTGGAAATCAGGTATTATTGAACAAATCGCCCCCACCCCTGCGATTTGGCGTCTAGCAATCCTTTACTGATTACCTTAAGATACACTTCGCCTCGCTTAAGAAATATATATCCACCAATTTCTTTCAGAAGCCTGTAGCAGTCCTCGCTAACATGAATCTTGAGAGCTAAGGAAAACAATAAGAAAAACTGACCTCACGTCAGGCTTTGATGGGGAGAAATGATCAAAATCAGAAAGCAATTTAAGAAATAAGGAAAACATAGTGGACACAGTAGGTGTTTTCTGAGTTGAAATGCTCCTACCCTGTCCAGTGGTTTCCAGCCTCGACGCTACGTTCACTGTGTCCCCAAATAGACAGAAGCGAGGCATGTGGATTCCCACAACACCCGCCACGCACGAACCTATAATAATAATAATAACAATAATAATAATAACTTTATTTCTATAGCGCTCTTATCCTTCGTTTAAGGCGCTTTACAGTCATGTAAACAACATTATTGATAAATATTTACATATTTACAACCACATCCTAATTATATTTACAATGAGTAAAAAAAAGGAAAAAAATTAAAACTAAAGCAACTATTAAACTATTTTATTCATAATGATTTAAAAAAGGGAAAAATTAAAACTAACGCAATAAATACAAATCTATAAAAATAATGATCTGTTATTACAGAATTTAGTAAACAAGTACGTCTTAAGTGATCTTTTAAAACTCGAGATGGTGTTGGACTTCCGAATTTCATAGGGTATGAAGTTCCATTCTCTCGGTGCATGAACAGCGAATGCTCTATCTCCGTAGGTCTTGGTATACGATCTAGGTTGCATTAAAAGTTCATTACTAACAGACCTCAATGATCTAGTATGAGAATGATAATGTAGTTTCTGAGCTAAATAGCTAGGCGATGTCCCATTCGGTGATTTATACACGAGGAGCAGAATCTTGAAAATAATACGATATTGAATCGGTAGCCAGTGAAGCTCGCACAACAACACAACTCTAGCCGCCGTGTTTTGTACATACTGCAATCTTTGTAACTGATACTTAGGTAGGCCGTATAGTAATGCATTACAATAATCTAGTTTCGATGTGACAAATGCATGAACAGCAACTTCTGCTGATTCTTTAGTGAAATACTTCCTAATTCTAGATAGGTTCCTGAGATGATAAAATGATGATCTACTGATGCTAGACACATGTGCATGAAAAGACATGTGCTCATCAAAGATAACACCAAGACTCCTAGCCGACTGAGAGGCAGCCACGCTCTCATCACCAACACATAAAGAACGGAAAGGATGGAGAGGGACGATACTTTGAGTGTATGAGCGTGACCTCCGTCTTGTCTTGGTTTAGCTTCAATTCGTTGAGATCCATCCAGCGACATATTGCAGAAATGCAGTTCTCGACCCTCGGTTTAGTAGCGTCCACATCCACCGATTGAATGCAAAGTATAACTGACTATCGTCGGCGTATAGATGATAATCCAAGCCATATGATCTTATCACTTTACCAAGTGGCGCAGTATACAGAAGGTAGAGTACAGGTCCCAGAACTGAACCTTGAGGAACACCCACGGGAAGATCTCGTACCGTAGAATTCGCCTCATTGATGTTAACAAACTGAGTTCTTTGAGAAAGATAAGAATCGAACCATTGGAGTACAGTTTCTCTGATGCCAAATTATTTTTGCAGTCTTGCCAGCAGCAAGGAATGGTTAACGGCATTAAATACTGCCGACAGATCCAATAAAACAAGGAAAACATTCTCGCTCTTATCCAATGACAGCATAATGTCATTTGTAACAGTGAGAAGTGCAGTCTCGGTGCTGTGAAAAGTCTTGTACGCTGATTGAAGAGGCTCGTGTAGATCATTTTCGCCAAGATAGCTATTCAATTGCAGGAACTTTAAATTTGATACAGGGCGAAAATTACTAAACTGCTCCAAGTCTGCATTTAATTTCTTAAGAATAGGTGATAGCAGCGCGACCTTAAGTTCCTTGGGCAGCAATCCAGATGATAATGACAAATTGATCACCCTTCTAAATATAGGGACAAGACTAGAATAGTATTTCCGCATGACACTCGCTGGAAGTGGATCCAGTGCACATGCCTTAATAGTTGAACCCCTAATCAACCCTAAGACGTCTTCATCTGTTACCATTGTGAACTCGGTAAAGCATGACGTACACTCAAGAAGTAAGAAGTATAACAATGACGTCAATCAGGGCATGGCTCTAAGACACCGCATTTTTCTCAGTCTCAGCGGCGCCAAATGACTTGGAATCAGTGTGGTATATGGTCATTCACATGATAGTTGCAAAGCAAGATTTTTTGTCAAATAGGTAAAAGAGCCTAGTGGATGCTTATCTTGTGTATTGAAGTTTGAAGGAGAGGTTTCAGAAGAGTTAATTTAAAAATAATCAGAGGGACGCTATTTTCTTGTACTCTGGTGAAATTTAGTAGACGCGCCCAGCAAAGATATATACATTTAATTTAGGTACCTGACTCTAAACCAAGTCAAACCTCCCTCCCTCCCCTCCCCCTCCCCCTACGATTACATCTCTAACTGATTAACGATAGTGGCGCATACATAAGGGTGCGTTGGTTTGGGTTTGCTTACCGCTGTGCAGTCCAACCCTAAGCTGTAGCTTCATCCGGGGTCTATGCCTGATCTTAAAGTGAGTCATAAGACTGAGGATGTCAAACGCCATGTCCGCTATTTCCGCAGCGTGGCGGTTGCCATTTCTAACAGGCAAACCAGACACCACCAATAAGCAGTCACCAATTGTCTCCACCTGGAAGAAAAAACAGTTTTTTACCTTTGTTTTAATCCATCCGAGAAGGACATCCCAAAATAGAATAATAGTCAAGCATATGTTGTTTTCTCTTCCTTACCCAGCACGCTTACACTAGATCACACTCATAGCTTCATATAGCCGAGGGAAGATCACGTGGATACCTTTAGCAATTATCATCCGGTTAAGTAATATTATTTCCTGAAATGGTTCACTGCAACCTTACGATTAGCCGGTGTTGTTCAAGTTGTCTGTTCATAGATAAAAAGAGCGATAGAATCACTGGGGCAACTTGACTCACCTTAAATACATCATAGTTGCCTAGAATGTTGTCCAAGGCAAGGTACAAATCATTCAGAAAGGCAACAATCTAAACCAGAGAGAGAAAATTGTCTGAGTAATCTGCACTTCGTTGTTCATGTTTATTACACCTAAAGATGAATTTCAAAGATAATACCAACTATTGCAAATTTCACAATGATGAAAAAAAAATTACATTTCAGTTTGTGATTCTTACCTCCATCGGCGTACTCTCTGAAGCGAGGTCAATAAAAGCCATGATTTCACTGAAATAGATTGTGACTTCGTCAAAATACTCTGGAGTCACAGGCTTCCCAAGCTTTAACTGCTCTGCTACAGCTCTGTTGTATGACAGAAAAAAGAAAAAAAAACGCAGTTTAATCAAGGATCACTCTCAAGGTTTTTTTTTGTGAGGATTTTCCTCAAACAAGGTCCTCGACACAAGGATAAAATTATAAGAAATTCAACAGTAAAAATTTTATTGACATCTGAAACGTTACAAGGACAAAACAAAGTTGGTAAGATAGAGTTGATAGATGATTGACAATGAAAATCAATCGACCTCCTGGAAAATGGGAGACACATCTACTGAATACCTAAATTTGTCTCTTGTCTCTTTTCTTGGACTGGCCACATTTCAGCGTTGCAATTGTCGTGTGAGGCTGTTTAATCTCTTCCTTTGAGTTGAAATCCGTGTATATTTTTGAAAGGTAACTAAACATTGCTGAGCAGAGGAAAAAAGGCAAGAAGCAGAATTGCGGGACAATCCTTGACTTACACTGGTAGCATTTTGTACAGAAGTTTGTCTGTTTTCTTCTTCTCCTCCATCAGCAGACGAGTTCGTTCTTCCACTAGCGCCTCCAAGTTATCAGTATGTTGCTCGATTAGTGCCATTATGTTGTCCATGATGTTGACATCTCTACAAGGAAAAGAACGTGAGTGTTGGAGGGGAACAACATCCTCCGAAAAACAATCTTTATTTTTCACATCCTTACTAGAGAAAGCACAATAGTTTAAAATTTTGCCGCAGATAAAAACATTCACTGGTTCATTGGTAATCATTACATTAAGGCAACGTTTCTTGCCATTCTTACATTGATATATTGGCAAAATCGCCTCCATCATTTTTTGTTGTTAAGAGAGTTAACCCTTTTAAAATCACTAAAAAAATGCTAGCTACTGCTTCATACTCTAGTGTTATGTCGATCGTTATGGATATACCGTATGCAGACAATTTTCTTTGCAAATCAGCTCATCCGGGCAAACGAACATGGAGAAACACAATAAAGGAACTAGATGAGATGGACATGCAACCGCCTCCTACCCTATTCTCTGCTCCAATACTGGGAGAGGATCTGATTATAATCAGACATACCTGCCCATCACCTTTCGCAGCCTGTCCAAGATTTTGTTAAAGTGAGGCCGTTTATCTGGGTCATCATCCCAGCACTGTGTCATTAGGGACTGGAGCTCTTCTTTACAAGCATTCGCCTCAACAACGGGGCGAAATGGTGGGTCTTCATGTGCAGTGACTCGAGCAATTATCTCTGTCGACCGTAAATCAGACAATCACTGGCATTGTTTCTTTTCATTGTTCTTTTTATTACTGGTGTTCAAACATTAATTGCGAGTACATGTAACAAGCGCCAAAAAGCAAGGGGAAAAGTGAGTGAGCAAGTCGAGTCTCATGATTAAAGATTGTTGGTAATGCAAATTAAGTCATCGGATCAGTTGCGACTCTTACCTTGTGGTTGTAGAGTATACATGCTATAAGGTGGCTTTCTGATCGCAATTTCTTGTAAAATTATACCATAACTGTATACATCTCCTTTCTGTGATCCCCTGTTGTCCATGTCGTCATCATGTATGTGTTCTGGGGCGCACCACAACATATCTGAAAAGTAATGAAATACATAATATCTCAAGAAAACACTAAAAGCTGCTTTTTTTGGTATTTGAAGGTTATGACTAAGCAAGTTATCGAGTTTAGTGCGCGCACAATGTTTTACAGGTTATGGTAAGGACTTTTGGAGGTGCTCTTTTAGTATCTGACAGGTCTAATGATAATATGCCTTGGTCGTTTTATAATTACAGTTTCCTTGTAGCGGAGAGTACCCACTGACTTTCTTAGCAAGTAAAAAGACCGAGCAAATGCTTTCAGAATTGACTAATTCCATAACTTATTTTCATTTTCTGCTTTGACCCATAAGAGAATTATAAACTGGTACACGCATGCGCAACCTACCATTGTATTTTTCATACTCTTCTCTGGGAGGCAGGCGGTCGGCGGGGGAGCGGAGCTCACTTAGACCCCAGTCTCCTATCTTACACACCCACCGCGAGTCAATCAGACAGTTGGAGGACTTGAGCCGACCATGCACTTGCACTGCGCTATTGTGAAGAACCATCATACCCTGTGCAGAAAGAAAGGGTCTTTTTAAGATATAGACTCTAGCTGTCGTATGGTTAATAATGATGTTTTGTGCTGGGAGTCACTGAAGCTGATTATGTGGTTGTACTAGTTGAAATACGGGCCTCATATATAAAAAGCGACCTTAATTCACTAAACACGTTTAAATATTTGCTGCACACATTGGCGGTTTGGTGCATGATCATGACCAGGAGAGAATGAGCTCATTCTCTTTTGTCATGACTCTGATGCTATTTAACTATAGCTGTGACCAGGGTAGTTTTTCATCTGACATGACTACTGTACTTTTTCAAAAAATACTGAGTAAAACAAGTCAGAGCTTTCAGTTTCTACTCATTCTAAGGGACGAGACCTCGGGGATGAGATGTGTCTCTCAGTGGCATATGTTAAGTAATGTTTTACATTACCGTTGCTACATCACGGACCAATGAAAGGATAAAAATTTCTTCCAGCTTAAAATCCTCGTTCTCCAAAAGATCCTAAATGAAAGCATTAAAATGTTAGTATCAAACTTTTAGCCTTAAAGTTAACACGGGGTTAAAGTCATAATAATTTCATTTATTGTAGGCCCGTGAATAATTTCCTATGATGTCCATGATAAGTTCATTACACTATAGAACAACTGTGAATCATTCTTTTACTGATGTATTTCGAGAAAACACAATCAACTTTATTCTACTTTTGTCGTGTATGCATGGCTTGTTATCTTTCAATCCCGGCAGCAATACTTAAAAAATCGTTGACGTACCTGAAGACTGCCTCGTTTCAAATATTTGGAGAGGATCATAACCTGGGGTGAGTCGATACAGATTCCGATGAAAGGATTGATGTTTTCATGGCGTAATTCCCGTGCCTATACAAAAACAAACATTTCATCAGATAGGTACGCAAAACAGCACTGATAGATGTCGGTCTACCGTCTACCTACTACGTAACTGTCTCCATTAGCGAGCGCGTACCCAACTACAAAAACGTCCAGTTTTTCAGCGACTGATCAAAAAGTCAAGAATGGCCATGAAATTTGATTCGTATGGAGCGATGATGATTCAGTAATCGTGGTATTCGTATTTTGATTGTGTTCCATGTATACTCGGCTGGCAGTAAGCATAAATTGTCTACGATACTGATAGCGAATGTTGTGAACCTTGCTCATTTTGTCTCGTTAACATTTTTATTTAAAAAATTGTTCAAGTTTTTTGTGTACCTAAACTCTCTCTATATATTATACATTATTGGATTATCATAATGGGATACAGTAAGCATGAATTTAGAACAATAAACGTGTTGTAAATCCCTAAAAAAAATTGTCATATTACCCCCCCCCCTACCTCCTCATAACGGCTACCTCTCCACAAATGCCACTATCCTCTGTCCCCAAGGTGACCGTTGGGGTGAGGTTCGACTGTAGTTCTGACTAACACTAATTTGTTAGTTCTATCGTTAATAGCCACCAAAAAAAGTTCTACAAACCTGACTTACCTGTTTGACTTCAATCAGAATTTTGCGAGAAATTCGAAGTTCTTTCTTTTTTATGTGTTTAACGACAACCAGTTCACCCTTCAAAGATAAACCAAGTAGAATTAAGGTTAGAAAGACGGTCAATGGGGGGTGTCCTGGCAGTACATATTAACTAACAATAAAAAAGGCTAACCTAGTTAATTACATGTAATATCTCACTAGGAATTGACGTAAAAAGAACGTTAATCAGTATGTTGTGGTCATAGAAATGGTGCAATAGCAGGCAAAGGATTTTTTACTTCTCCTTCCAGCAACTCCTTTGCGTCTCCCAGTCCCCTATGTTATTATTTTTTTCTTACTCACCTTATGGAAAGCGATGTTAGTAAACCCAGAAGAGAAGACTTGCTCCTGCAAACTCCACCTTGCTGAATACTGTGTGTCAGCGGACTTCACACTTGCGCATGATCTTAGACTACCAACTCGACTGGAGCGATTGGCACGTGAAGCTGACGTCCGGGATCTCATAGTTCTCCCAGAACCAAAGTTTCCGTTCTGAATATGCAAAAGTTAACAAGAGGTTCACGTTTATCATTTTACCCTGTAATTTCCAACACTGTTCAGAATCAATGTTTGTGTGCAATAAGAATATCCCAGATTTATTCTGTAAAATTGCAAAACCAAATACACTGGTATCTTGTGAAAAACCTGCTATATGAATAGCGTAAAATGCTCATGAAAAGGTAGTGTTAATGATATAATATATTTTTATACCGCTTAGCTCACCGAGTTTCCGAAGAGGTTGATCGTATCTCTTAACACGATATCTTCTTGTTTGACCTTCCATGTCTGATTTTGCGCAAGATCCAGCTCGAAAATCAGCTTCCTGTTATAAGATAAATCAAGTGCTTTGGTTCTGTGTGATGACGTTTTATAATTGCACAACAAAACAACGCAAAATTGGTCAGTGGTTCAACCACGTCACCAGGCTTACCCTTGGGACGAGGTTACTATGATAAGAGAAAGAAATTTCTGCTGGGCACTGACTGAAAAATACGGGTGTTTCTCAATAGATTTTCAGGTGGAAAAAGCTGGAAGATTGAGTGACAACAATAACATTTAAAAATTTTATTGCAACTTTGGGAAACTCACTCGGGCAGCACTAAGTATAGGTTCACTAACAACATAGCTTAGACCCGCCACCATTCCCTTTGAGGGAAAACGATCTAACGAAATTAATACTTTGCAAGAAATAATTCTCACTATACCTGTAAGCAAAAACAAACACCATGGTAACAAATACAAATCCAAACACGGTACAACAGGCGATGATGATATATGTAGTGCTATCCTCTGTGGAGAGAAACAAATAGTCCATCTAAGCAGGAAGGAAATAGACCAGGAAGGGTGGCCAAGTGGTCTGTGCGTCAGACCTGCAATCCTAGCTACAAAAAAGCCAACACGCTTCCACTCAAAAACAAAGCCTAACATTACTTTTTTACTGAATCACTTGTACTAAAGCTTTTTTTTGTAGTGTCACTTATCTTATTGTTTGGCGAAGTTAATAAAAAGATACTAAATCATTCTCTTCGATGTTGAATTAGAGGGAGAAAGAAAACAAAATTAATGATGTTCTCTTGGTGAAAAGAACCAGAATCATCTTACCACTGTCGTTGTAACAAAGTTCGCCTTCCCACCCACACTCAGGACTATCTTTAGGTGGAGTGGTGACCCCTCCCGGCCAGATGATTGTAACACCTTCTCTGATAGTAAAGTTATCATTATATCGAGTATAATACGCAATGTCCTCAAATCTGTCATCAATTAGTGTTTGAATGACATAATCAGGGTCTCGGTCGCCGTTGTTGTCCATGTAAACTGGTCCCGCGATACCTAATAAAATAGAAGAGCACACATACAGTAGACTGAACAGTAGAACAACATCAGCATAGACTTGACTACAGAGCTACAGTACATGGTAAACCGTCACACACTTATAGTTGGAGCATCACCAATGAAGACATACTGAAGACACCATGGAAGAAAGAAAGAAATTATTCAGATACCTTGATAAACTCTATTGTAAGTTCTCTTGGATACTTCCAAGCCATTTCTGATATTTTTTCCGGATTCCAAAGTTTCGTTAACAGCCAACGCGTACAGTAAAACAGCATCATACATTGTCCCAGCGTAAGCTTCCACCTAGGTGATAATCACATATTTGGAATCAGTAAGTTGGATATCAAGAAATATTCAACATTTGTTACCTATGATAATACACAGTAGTTCAGCAGACCACGTGTCAGAAATGATTTGAAGCAAGAGAAGTTGGTAAAGAGGGAGGAGAAGGTGTATCCCGAGCACCTTGGGTAGGGACTAATCCTCGAAACGTCCCAGTTCTTTCCTTATGACTGGAGACCAATTTATCCAATAAGATACATCGGCCACCGTAATAATTGTCAAAATAGAACTACATTTTGGAGATACTAAGAGTCTTCAAAAACGAATAAGCATGATTTGTTGTTCATGCGTGAGGATGAAAAAGTTTGGTGTTCGTCGTTGCATTGGCTGTGAGGAGCGACTTTTATATTTTACACATATCATTTTTGTGCACTGGCATGTACTATTAATTTGTTTAAAACACAGCTCACTGTTCCATTTTCCGGAATCTCCACATTAAAGGGATCGGCTTTCAACCTGCTCTTGACGCGATTTACGAAAGCTGTTACTTTGTCTCCGGTTCTCTTCTCTGTTCCAAACTTTTGTTCAATGTTCAAGACTCCCTCATAAGCTTTCTTGGCGTCATTATCCCGTCCATCGTTACCCATCCACGTGTTGTTACCAATGTAAGATCTACAATGTATCAAACAAAAAACTCTGATAAAGGGTGGGGTGTGGCGCTTTTGAATTTTTCCAGAGAGTGAACGGCATTCAGTCTTAACTTACCGCTTAGGCAAGTGGACCGTGATGAAAGCGTAATGACCATTAAGAAGACCCAGATCCAAAAAGTTCAACATGATTTCTCTAATGTCACCTCCATCGCATAACAAAATAAAAACTGAAAAAAATACTTGCTTTAGTACGTCGTACTAGAATGATGAGCAGCACAAACATAGGGTAGACATTACGCAGCACCTCAACCTGCTGCAATTAGAACTAATCATAGAAGACTTAAATCATTCACATCAGACCGCTGGACTACATTGATAAGCCCTGAGAAATATATCAAAAGTCCGAATAAAAGAATTTGTCAAGTGCTACGTATATGAACAGAAGGGCCTAAATAGTTTGCTTTTGTTTGATGAGTTCGATAAAATGTTCTCCTGTCGGAACGAAACGGAAGGCTACCGCTTAAGACGTTAGGCATTCACGATTTCAATATGCCTTATACTAAATTAAGTTAAAGAGACCGACTGATGCAGTTTCTTTCAAGTGAAATGATTTCTTATTTCAAGCGAACTTGAAGTCACAACACCTACCGTTTAACCTGCGTCCCCTTGTTCCCTTGTTAAAGTCATGAAATGATTATTGGTGGATAGTGTGGACCTATGAGATAAAAGTATTCGCGTCTTACTTACTCATAGCGCGTTTAGCCGCTCTTCTGATCAGATCAGCATGGCGTTCAATTCTGCTTTCTAGGATATGAAGACGTCCTGGGATGAACGAATGGAAATGAGCCACGTTGATTCCGTGATGGAGAAGCTCAATTTTAACTAAGTTTGCTGCAATTTGCCAGATGTCATCTGTGGAGGCGATAATAGCCACACGCTTCCAACTGAAATGTTCCATGAGACGTTTAAGCAGTTTCTCCATTTTAGTGTAGGGACCTTATGAGCAAAACATTCTAAATTAAAAAGAGTACCTAACACTTAATATATATAAAAGATTAGCCAAACAGCCTGCCGCTTATAATACAAAGCCCGCTACAAGGAGCTCGAAGCTCCGATATGTTATTATGCTTTGTGGCACGACTAAAATTGCGTTGTCTTGATAAGTAAAATAAAATAGAGGGGGGCGTAAGGGGGGTGCGAATACCGCAATACCGCACATGGTAGCACGAGAATCCCGCAATACCACATCATAATTTACCCAAATACCGAAACCGCAATTACAAATCGGAAAAAGTTGACGTTGTCAATACTACAAATCCCTCTTTCAAATAGAAATAATACTTTTATGTCAGTGTTTCCAATTCAAGGTGCGTCGAAGTCAAGCTTGCGATAAACATAAGATCATCGCACTCGTTTAATTTTGTTCATAACATGTATACGTTTACATAAATGATACAACGGGGGTACTTGGGTTAATTTTTGCTGGGTATGTGCCGCTGGCTTCTCAGAGCCCCTACCCCATTATAGTCTATTCAGTGGTCAATTATAGACCCCATCTTAGTCACTTTTGGGCAAATATTTAATTTTCGCAATCCCAGCTTAGTCGCTTTCTATTTTTATGAATTGACCATTTTTTAGATTGAATGAAGAACACTTAACTTTTTATCTACAGTACGAACATTCTGGTACGTTTGCTAACCGTAAATATGAAGAACTGTCTTACCCCCAAAAATCAGAAAATGCTCGACCCCATTCTAGTAACTCTCTGGAAAATGCGACCCCATTATAGTCACTTCACTCGTGAAAATGCGGCGCCATCCAGCGGCACATCCCCATTAGCCTCTTATAAGGAAGTAGCCCCCCGCCCCCCGGGCTGCCATGCTACGTAGGCTAAGCACACACGAATACTTGTACATTCTATATTCCTGCATGCACAACGAGAAGGACGAGTAGTAATCTTTAGACCACAGCATCTTCATAGATTATCTTTCGACACTACGAAATTTATAACGACCTCACTGACCTCACTATTTGCTGGAATATCTGACTGATCACTTAGTTGACCCTCTGGATCGCTCGCCATTGTTTCGCGACTGGCACGAAAGAGGCGGTAAGATTGGTAAGGAGGTTAACCAAGCTGACTATTCCCACAAGTTCTACGAGGTTATAAATAATGCGACATGTTTATGTATCATTGGATAAGAAAGTTAATGTCGTTAATCATATCAAGTATTAACTGAAATTACAAGCCATACGATTTGTCTGGACTGTTTGCGCAATATACGATCCCCGACTGTGCAGCTATAGGAAGACACGCGGGTCACGCAGGCTAGCTAGGGAGACCTTTTAGGATTTGTATCCTCTTGTCATGAAAAAGAAGCAGATCACCGTGACATAACGATTTTTTTACCGACTACCGCGACATAAAATTTAAACTCACCGCACACCGCTTGGGTTCTGAAAACCGCAATACCGTACTTTGAAATAAAAATTACCGCAACACCGCACCAAAAAAAACCCAATACCGCAATACCGCAAACCCTTACGCCCCCCTCAAAATAATCTACTTTCCTTTAGCAAAAGCGATTTTTAAGAGATAGCTACATAATATTTCCAAGCCGTATCATATATATATCTATATTAGCAACTCCCAACATATTTCAAGTTAAGTGTAAAAGAGCCTTAATCAAAAAGGCCTGATCGATAAACTTGTTGTAAATATTTAGGCAGATGGGCGGAAATATCATTTATTCCAAATGGGATTAATTGTACATTCCTCTAACATCATCTCGCCTTTAAATGTTGACAAATACGGGCACTCGATAGTTTGATCATGCATAACAGGAAGACTTCTGTTTAACTGTCCGGTTTTGAGCAATTCACTGAACAGGAAAAAAAATATGGAAGCTGAGGCAGAAAAAAGGACTGGAGCAATTTTCTAGGGTAACTTATTAAGGAAAAAATTCTAATGATAAAATGAAATAAACAGGTATAGTGTTGTAACTTAAGAAAATATGAATGGGAAAGTAGAAATTTATCAAACTCGAAAAAAACAACAACACTTTTTTTTAGTTCACTGGGTTTGACTCCACTGGAATTTACTTACCAACAGTTCGTACAAATGTGGGGAACGTATTTCTGTTGGATAAATGAGCAGACATACAGCCCCATGAAATGACTGGAAGATTCCATTTCCCTGCCAACAAGCTGATATATTCACAAACTCGGTTACATCCTCCCCCAATAAAGGCATCTACTCCTCTTTTCTGCTGAGCCCAGAAGTTCATAACCAGAGGTAAGGCTGTGTTAGGTGAGCAGTTAGTGTTGCCAAATACAAACTGAAGGCGGTGGTTTGGTAACAAAGAGGGATCGTTGTTGATATCTTCAACGGCAATAGGCATAGCAGCGGCTGTTGTTCGTCCAACATCCCATTCTCCTGTCATTGGTGCCAGAGCTGCAATGGTGATGTTCTGTTTGGACTGCTGCCCTGCCGAGCCATCGGACTTTCGTGTTGGGAGAAAATACAGATAAAAAATACACACGGCAGTAATGCCGTGTATAAAAACTTTCATTAGTAATTAACTGACAGTATCCCTTGAAAATAGCAAAGATTGTTTTCCCAACTCGTTACTCCTTCGCTTGGGAATTAGCCTCCGGGTAGAAAGTAAAAAAATTATCTTACTATCGGCGTATCAAAAGCCCGTTTTTCAGAAGCTCTGACGTAAGGCGGTGTGATAAATTGGGTATCTGGGTTCTTATTGGTTGACCAAGAAGAAAGACTGCGAGGATGCCGGAATCTCGCTGCCTGTGACGGGGTGGGGCTTCGGGTTCCGCCTATGGGGAATTAGCATTAATTTACATTCAAACTTGAGAGGACACCACACGAACAAATCTCAGCAAAGAAAAACATTACCAAAGAGATAAAGCGAAAGTTCGCGAATATTTTCTCCAACGAATATGAAAGAAGAGCCTTTGATAGCGAAGTTCAACGTGTTTCGCGGAAAGCCTTTTTTAGATTAGACCACACACTTTCACATATAAAAACGATGTCAAGTTATCTTGATGAAGATTTTTATTATCCCCCATGTTTAGCAGTCTCAAAAAGTCCCCCCGCTACTCCCCGCCTCTGCTCCACTTCAATTCTACTCCCCGACAGAGAGAGTACTGATGACAAAGGTAATGGAGTGGAGAGGTCACGTTAACATGGTAGCAACATTTCTGGATCTCAACAAATCGTGATCCTGGAAATATCGCAGGAAGAAACGCAAAAAATTGACATGTTATTTTAGTTGGATTTTTGATATTTTTGTATATGAACACGGAATTAGTACCCAGACCTCCCACGGGTACGATGAGGACAGCGTGACGTCACAGAACGTCACACTTCTCCTACTCGACCCAGCCTCCGTCTACTCGTCACAAAATTTCAACATGGACTTCGACGGTGCTTTACAGCAGGTTGGAGAATTTGGTCGTTACCAAAGAAAACTGTTTTTCTTAATAGCGATATCAGCTTTCCCATGTAGCTTTCAGATGCTTGTTCTTGTATTCACCGCAGCGACACCAAAATGGATTTGCCCAGAAGATCTCAACGCAAACTTAAAACACTGCAAGTCGCTTGAAAGTTGTTGTGATCTTGATGGTAGTGCCTGCCAAGGAGCTTCTTTTATTACAAATTTCACATCGATTGCGACAGAGTGGAGTCTCCTTTGTGGGCAAACGTACAAAAATGAACTTGCTCAGTCCATATTTATGGCAGGTACACTTATTGGAGCACCTTTGATCGGCGGATTAGCCGATAAACATGGCCGCCGAAAGCTTTGGCTTGTTGGTTATTTTCTAGCTGGCGGCTTTGCCGTTCTCTCTGGATTTTCTCCGTCATATTACGTTTTCGTGGCGCTAAGATTTCTTGTTGGTATATTTGCTGGAGGAGCAGGACTGATTATATATGTTTTGGCAACTGAATCAATTGGCCCATCTTACAGAGGTAAATCATTCTGGCGTGGTTACTAAGTCAATAATAGGGGCTCGTACAACTTCATGGCGTTAGTAGGGCTTATAAATTAGAATTCTTATAACCGGACTAAGAAAAGTGTTTCAAAACAAGGTATTTGAATCTGATGGCTTTGTTTAAGTGTAGAAGGTTGAATTTGTTTCAATACAAGCCAGGGGAGGGGGTTGGGGAAGCGGGGGGCTAATAGCCAGAGGTTAACAATATATCCACACTATGTGCTGATCGATACTTTGGCAGCAAGGAAATCCATCTGGTGTTACTTGAACCACCCCCCAAAATCGCTAATAGCAATACAGCCAGGTGCAAAGAAGGCCAGTTTTGCAGCTTGCCCAAAGCTAGCCAAAAAATGAGCGGGATTGATTACAGTACTTTTGTATTTTGAATCCCCCCCCCACCCAAAAAAAAAAATTCACTTGGTTGTTGGGCAGGTTAAGAACACCACTGATGTAAATTCTCTATTTTCTCTATCTTCAGGTTTTGCTGGAACCATGATGCAAGTATTTTTTGCACTTTCCATGGCTCTTCTTGGATTCTTGGCATACCTTATACAAGACTGGCGAAATTTGACCATAGCTACATCCCTTCCTACCATTTTTGCTCTTTTAATCATAAACCATGTTCCAGAATCTCCAAGATGGTTAGCATCTCAAGGAAAGTATGATGAAGCAGAAGCTATCTTGCTGAAAATGGCCAAAGAAAATGGTGGTATAAGCAAACCTGTGTCACTGAGACGATCAAAGCTGACCTCTAAAGCTGGCATTCCTGTGCAAAGCTATGGAATTTTGGACTTGTTTACAAACAGAAGAACTTGTTCATTAACAGTGATCATGATGATTAGTTGGTTTGTAAACAGCCATGTTTATTATGGCCTATCACTAAATGTTAAAAATCTTGGGGGCAACATGTATGTCAATTTTATTCTGGCTGGTCTAGTAGAAATCCCGTCATATATCTTAACAGTATTTCTTCTTAACTGGTCAGGTCGTCGAAAATCATTGTTCTACTTTATGATTGGTGCTGCCACATCGTGCTATGTATGTATGAAACTACAGCAACAAGAAGCAACTAATTTGGCATGGCTTTCTGTCTCTGCTATGTTTGGGAAATTTTGTATCTCTGCATCCTTTGCAGTAGTTTATGTTTATGCTGCAGAACTTTTCCCAACTGTGATCCGTAATGTTGGAATGGGTGTGGCGACTGTTGCATCGCGTGTTGGTGGAATTTTATGCCCATTTGTTGTTTTAATGGGAGAGCAAAGTAGATCATTACCCATGTTTATATTTGCTTGTATGTCATTAGCGGCAGCACTAGTAGGTCTAAAGTTGCCAGAAACAAAAGGACATCCAATGCCTGAAACAATGGAAGATTTAGAGAGATTAGAACATGATTTTGATAAAACTGTTAAAACTTAAACCCACTACATCCAGGTTTGATTTCAATATATTTAGTGATTCTCATTCTGAATTTCATTTTTTTCCTTTTGCTTACTTTGTTTAGTCTTGTAATGAACGGTTATTTACAAAGATCAGGAATAAAAAAAAATTTGGAAGCAAAATAAATTGGCAATAACCACCAGTGTTAGAGTTACTACATCAGTTTTCGTGAAGTCTATCTGCATCCCCCGACTCAAGGTTCTCTCAATTCGGTGGATTTTGATGGTGGCGGCAGAAATGTCTCGTTTTAATTGCATAACATTGTGTTGATGTCTTTGTGCAATTTGAAATGGCACTTGCAATTCTGTCAGTGGCATACAAAGGCTTATCACTTGTGGAGTACCGCCGCATCCTCTACAAAACTGAAGGCTGGAAAGTCGCTATGGGTATGTTTTGGGTACCATTTCGAGGAATAGCCATACCATTTCTGGCCCTTCTACTTCGGCACACAGTTAGAGCAAGTCGCAGATGTATTGAGGCTATCACAAAAGAGGATGAAACTTCCGCACAAGAGAAAAAGATGCCTCACCTTCTGAGGATGGAAGAAGTTCAAACTGCCAGGAACATCGTCATTATTGTTGTGGCTTATTTCGTTTGTTTCATACCCGCTATAGTTTATGGTGTACTGCTTATCTCCTTTGATGGAATGCTTTTCATTTTTCTTCACTTATTTCACCAGCGTGTGTAACCCTCTTGTGTATTCTTTACAAACGTGTCGATTCAGACAAGTTATTGAAAACTTTTTAAAAGAACATCAACCGACGAGAGGAAAAGAAAGAACACAAGCCAGCCTCAAAACATCGAAACGTTCTTGCTTCTTCACAATAGAATGTCATGAATCACCAGCAAGAAGGTATTAACGAGTTTTATTAAATTAAATTATTATATTAAGTTTTAGAACAAACTAGCCACAGTTTATGGAGAAGTTTAGCCCTCTATAACAAGTATTTTCTCTGCTTTTGTCTGTTTGTTTATTGTCAGTAATACATACAAATAACGAGAATAACCGTGTTTCCTTCAAAGACTTTTATTAACTTCGTGTTTATCGCCTGCAGACAAACTGAGTTTTCCAATGACATTACATAATTACTGTTTCACATTTTTGGTGCACCAAATTAAAAACCGTCTTAACTTCCCGGTAGATCAAGTCTTGTTATAAAGCATTTAGGACTGCACACTTAGCTTCTTGACATAATACAATCTTGAGTCAAACAAATAAGACCAGACATTACAAGATAAGACCTAATTGGCCTTTCAAAGGTTGGTTGACATAATGTCCTTGCTCCGCAGATAGTCAATGAGCTAATCTAGGTGCCCTAACCAGGAAACTAAAGAACAAAAAACTGCTAACAATGTTAAGTGAAAACTTCACAACGGGAGAAACAGACTGTGAAAAGAAATTCTTTAGAAATTAAGCAAAATCTCAGAAAAAAAAGGGGAGGGGTGGGAGTGGCCCCCTAAGCCCCCTCTAAATCCTAAACACACCCATGCATTACTACTTTCTGAGCTTAAGTGATAACTAAATGAAACGAGTATTGCGTAGCTCAATGAAGTAGGTTTCGAGCAGAAAAACTGGTAAAGTCAGCGTATCCGTCCCTCAGTATTGATTCCAAAACTCTACCACCACCCTTACTGAGTAATCCCTCCAGCAGAATTTCCCTTTTTAAAGAAAACACTCGGTATTAAGTATTTTAGTTAAGTACCATTAGTACTTGCTTTCCTTGAATGAATCTCCTCGAGATCGCTAAATGTTTGCGGCATCCGTTTTCCTTGTGTCTCGTGCAATTTTAATCCTGCTATCCCGGCAAACAAAACCGTGCAGGCAAAAACAAACATTGGCAGAGAGATGTGGTGATCGCCCATCAGAACAATAAAGGGAGCAACCATTCCTCCAACCCTGGCAGAAAAACTGGATATCGCCATACCTGCATTGCGAGCAACTGTTGGAAAAAGCTCTGCAGAGTAAACATACAACACGGCATAAGATGCCGAAATACAAAATCTGCCTCCAAGTGCTGTAATCGAAATTGCAGTTACATTTTGTCCGCCATAAAATTGCAGAAACGCACACAGGAAACAAGAAAAACATGCAGCCAAGAGAAGAACAAACAAACTTAGTCTGCGCCCCAAACGTGACAATAGGAACTGTGTCGAAGCAAACGAAGGTAACTCTATCAAGCTACTGAGCGCGAAATTAAGATATAGGTTCCCTTCCAGGTTTTTAACGTTTAAGGCAAGTCCATAATATACCATACTGTTCACGCACCATGACAACATCATGATTATTGTGATGACGCGCACAGACTTGTGTGTGAATAAGTCGATTGTCCCATACTTGCAATTATTTCCTTGTGCTATAACCCGTTTGGATTCCATTTTCAGGAATATCAATTCGCCATTGCCGTAACCATTTTCTTCCTTAATCTTTCTTACTATAGTTTCTGCTTCTTTCACTCGCCCTTGAGACAATAACCATCTTGGAGATTCTGGAATACTTCTAGAAATGAATAAAACCATTAACGTGGGAAGAATGGAAATGACAGTTAAAGTCCTCCATTCGCGGATGATGTAAGCTTCTAAAGCCAGAACGACAAAGCAAAAGGGATAAAACGCCTGCTGCCAAATACCTGCAGTTCCTGACAAAAGAGAAGAAGACAACAAAGCGTAAATTCTTTGAATAGGTTATCATGATGCCTGGATATCAGTAACACAATACTAAGGATGTGACCCAACATCCATGGTCACTCCATGTCGAAGAAACGACGTGAACTGGTGCTACAAATTACGACATACTCTCCCTTACCCATTTGCAGTTCAAAAATATAGTGCTCAATAGTACTCTCAGAACTGACACGTCCCCAGTCGTCTCTCATGAGGTTTGGAAAGTATTACATTATATGACAGTCGGACGGACGGACGGGCGGACCGACCGACTGACTGACTGACTAGCCGTGCGCGTTACGCGTTACGCGAAGACGGCTGCGGAAGAGTCAGCGTCCCAGCTTATTTCGTTAGAGTTAATTAACAATTATTGGATGAGATTTTTGTGATATCCGGAAAAATCAAGGTCGAGGTAAGCCTGGGCAGTCTAGGCTGATAACATTTACCTTGATAATTCAGGATATTATCACTAAAACATAATCTACTAATTGCTTTATTGTTTTGAAGAAAATAACGACAATCACACCATCACACGGAAAGCAGTTTGACATTGCTCTTGGAAATCGTACTTTGTGCGGACAACATACACTAATCCGTAGTATCTGTAGTTTGCTCTAGTTTAAAAAAAATTAACTAACGGCTCTAAGCCAATGAGAAGACAGATAGTGAGTACAATGTACTCTGAATATGGCCATGTCTCAAAAGGACTGGAAACAAACAAATTCAATTTTCCCGTCTAGACCGGCATCTAGACCGATCTTGTTGTAACAGTTGTCCTCAAAAAGTTACAAACAAAGAATATGAAAAAATTGGCCTGTTCCTGTTAATAATACTAAATGGAAGAATCAGTGGACCTTCACGAGGAAGAAGGTAATGAAAACGACCAAACGTTGGCAAATTTGAGTCCTGCCGAGGAAGCTACGAGCAAAGATGAAGTCGAAATTGATGTTTTTGTTCCTTTGCTTTCATGTTTGGCCATATAATAAACATCTTATTAACCGAGCTAGGTCGGTCTGTATGGGAGAATCTTGACCTCGTTCGCTGGTACAGACTTCACTGCGTTCGGTCTGTACTGGCGACCTCGGTCAAGATTCTCCCATACAGACCTCCGGTATCCTCCCGCTCGGTTAATAAGAACTAAATCCAAATCTTCTAACTGTGAATAGATATTATCTGCTAAGTATGATTAATTATGTCAGTTCTATCCTACCTCGATATGAAGGTCCAATAGATTCTGTCGACAGCACGTAGGTTATAAGACCTCCTCCACCTTTCAGTGCTCCGAAAATAAAACGTAAGGTAATGTACTCTTTGTATGTTCTGACAAAACCAGTCATTAGACCTAATATACCACCAACAGTGTAAGCGAAAAGCCATGGTCTTCGGCGACCGTATTTATCAGATAAAATACCAAAGATTAGAACTCCAAACATGTACCCAGCCACAAAGATTGACTGACTTAACTCAATTTTATAGCGATTCCCGCAAACTAGGTTCCATTCAGTCGCAATAGATGTGATTCGTGTCGAAAATTCTCCTCCACGACAAATAGAACCATCTTTATCACAGCAGCGTGGGTCGGCGCTTGACTTGCAGTGTAAAGTGTCGCCACTTGGTGAAGTGCATTTCCATTCAGGAACCGCTCCAACAAATACTACAATCAACATTTGAGAGGCGAGAGGAAGAGAAATAAGGCTGACAATCAGGAAAATCCTTTTTTGATGACGGCCAAATTCTCCGACCTGTTCAAGCGCACAGTCAAAGTCCATTCTTTTCGACAGCGATGAGTGGTTGGTTGTAGATCTTCGCCAGTTGTTCGGTTTAGCGCTCAGGCATACGTAGATGAACAGCTATTTTTAGACCTCAGATGTCTGTACCGCCTGCAAGATTTACCGTTTCGTTTCAAAGCACAACGAGCGCTCAATACTCGTGAATGACAACAAACAGACAAACGGCGAAGTAGTTTACCGTCCGGTTAACATGAGTTGCGTTTGCGCCCACTGAAATAGTATCGTTTATGCTAATTTATCAGATTTATGTGTATAAAAATCCCTCAAAAAGGAAGATTAAATTACAAAGCGGTCACTCATGTATGATGCTGAAACAATAAGTTACAGAGACATTTTATGGTTATTTCCGCAGAAAGATGAACGCATTGAAACCCTTCTTCAGCCATCATTTGCATATCTGTGAGTGAGCACCTGTGATATGGCTGACCTTAGAGAACAGCCACGTGTCAGTAATCCATGGCTTCGCCGACAAGAGATCGCGGTAAGACATTAACGTGTCAGGGCACTGGAAAGAATGAAGGAAATGTTTTTGGTGAAATAATGGAATAACGGTAATTTTTTGGAGTTGGAATTATAGAATAATGTTGTTTTGGAGGGTGGAATAATAGAATGACGTTTTTTTACGTTATCCGTCAGTTTTATAGGTTCTTACACCGGGGATGAGCCAAATTTTCCTCGGAAAAATAATAACATCTTACAGAAAATGGTTTTTGGTCTAGAAAACGTAGTGAATTTCAAAGACTTTTTATGACCTTATAAAGAAATCCAGGCCCTAGTTGTTTAAACTTTGGATAGCTCTATCCACCGGATAAATCATTATCCAGCGGATAAGTATTAGGCGAACCAATTACGCTATCCATTGAATAGGCCAGTACTTTTCAAGGACCTTAAATGAATTCGAGGACATTTCAAGACGACTACTAAAATTCAAGACCTTTTTAAGATTGTACGAGCCATGTTTTTTTAATAATAAGTTAAATAGTATTTCGTTCGCCTCAGAGAAAACTCGACACCGATTCATTTTTTCTAAGTGAGGGTCATTCTTGGCACTGAAATGAAATTCACCTGCAACAATCAATGAAAAACCAACAACTTGAGTAAGAAAGTTCCAGTCATAGGTACGTTGTGTGTAACTGAGCTGAATAGGACTGTTTCAGTTTCGACAACCTGTAGGGTGGTAGTCATCATACGCAGTGACGATGTGCATTGTGAGCAAACGATTCACTGTTATTCAAAGGTATCTGTCTGTAGTATTTAACGCCAAGTTTTAAAACTGATTAAAAAGAAGTCAATGTCAAGTCGTAGTTCGATATTTTCAATAGAAAACGGTGTTTGCAGGCGTTTGTAAATTATTACAAATGAGAAACTGTAGTCTGCGAGCAAGCTGTTCATTTGGGGGAGTCCGCGCGAGAAGTCACGCGAGAGCTTAGAAACTACCAGGCCTGATACACGGAACATTTATTTTCAATTGTTACACAGGCAGTTACATAAATCATTGTAACTAGCAAAGACATCAATTAAGAACAAATACAATATTATGCAGTCAAACGTCAAGACCCAGAGGCTAAATCAACAGGTGACTTTACAAGTTAGCCCATATCTAAATTTAAATTGTTCATTCTAGCAAATACAACCGACAGTCAACGGATGTCAGGGTTGTAGCGAGCCCATAGACCTGTAGGCCCAGGCCTACAATTTTTTGGTTTGATCACTCTATTGCTTGTAATAAATTATGGGTTGTTGGGGTGAGCTAAAAAGCTTAAGAGCTCAAAGTGTTGGTGAGGTCAGTGCGTCCTAGTCATGCATGCAATTTTGTCAGGATATGTGGAACTGAAAGTCAGCCAGGCCCACAGTTAGTCAAAAAGCTGGCTACATCCTTGGATATATTTTTCATCCTGGTAAGCGGGGAGGCAATAAAGTGCTTGAGGTGTCTTATGTATCACCCTCCACCCCCCACCCCTTCTCTGTCACAGCACTGAATCGCTTTCTCTTTATGGATCACCATTAGATTTAACATGTACTTTTCTTGGGTGATTTCCATCCAAATCCTCAAATGTTTCTGGCAATGGTCTTCCTTGTGTCTCATGGAGTTTCAATCCTGCCATTGCAGCCAATAGTGCAGTTAAGGCAAAAACAAGCATAGGGAGCGAAATGTTCTGATCTCCAAGGAGAACAATGAAAGGTGCAACCATTCCTCCAACTCGAGCTGATAGACTTGATATACCCATACCTGCATTGCGAACAACTGTTGGAAACAGCTCTGCAGAGTAAACATACAGCACAGCAAATGATGCAGAAATACAGAACCTGCCTGCTAAAGCTGTCATAGAAATTGCAGCAGTATTCTCTCCACTGTGAGATTGAAGAAACATGCACAGGAAACAAGAAAGACTAGCTCCAAGAAGGAAACAAAACAAAGTCTTCCTACGTCCAAGCCATGAGAGAAAAAACTGTGTTACAGCAAAAGAAGGCAATTCAATTAAACTAGCAAGTACAAAATTGATGTAAAGACTTCCTCCAAGGTTTTTAACATTCAAAGCAAGTCCATAATACACCATACTGTTTACACACCATGATAACATCATGATACCAGTGACGGGACACACAGACCGGTGAGTAAATAAGTCAAGTGCTCCATACTGAGAAGTTTTCCATTCTGTTCTACTGTCTACTTTCAAAAATATTACTTCATTATTACGAGAACCATTCTCTTTTCCTATCTTCCTCAAAATATGTTCAGCTTCTTTTATTTTTCCATGGGATGCTAACCACCTCGGGGATTCTGGGATAGTTTTGAAAATGAATAAAACAACGAAAGAGGGAAGAATAGAAAAGAAAGTTAGAGTCCGCCAATCACGGATGAAGTAGGCTTCCAAAGTCAAGACAACATAACCAAAGGCGTAGAAACCTTGTTGCCACGTACCTGCTGATCCTATTAAGGAAAAAGAAAAGGCTAATTAGATTTGTTTCAAGAGGGAGAGTGAAGTTTTTTTGGATAAGCCACCTAATATGCAGAAGAATAAAGACTTGACTCTCCAAGAGTTTTATTAAAGATCAAGTACTGAGCAAATTGGCTAAATGTGAAATTGGTTTTACTTTGTTGCTCTCTGGATATTATTAAAATTATAAAATCTTTCACAGCCTAATCATAACCTACCTACCTGGGAAGGGGATTGAAGCCAGACCCACAATGGGCAAAGGCTTGGTCACACTGCGGCAGTATTAGCTCAGTTGGTAGAGCACTGGCCTGCAGAGCGTGAGGTCTCAAGTTCGATTCCTAGGATCCGACTATTACTCAGGTCTTTCTCAGGACCTTCGTGCATCTGAGATGACCACATACAAATGGTTGACCCATCTTCAAGCCGGGAGATTTAATTAATAAGTGTGCACTAAATACATTGATACCCTGTCCAAGTACGTTTTTTAGGAATCCTTGAACCCTTTCGTGCTATGGTTCAAAATTTCCAGCTAGCAACTTAGTATTTTTATTTATAGAGTGTCCCCGGAAAGGGGATGTGGCTACATTTACCTCGATATGAAGGTCCAATGGATTCTGATGATAGAACATAGCTTATAAGGCCCCCACCACCGCTCAACAAGCCCATGGCAAACCTCAGAGTGATGAACTCTTCATATGTTTGTACAAAACCAGACATTACAGTTAATATCCCACCAACTATATAGGCAAAAAGCCAAGGTCTCCGGCGGCCATATTTGTCAGACAAAATGCCAAATATAAGAACACCAAACATATACCCAAACACATAGATCGACTGAGTAAGTTCGGTCTTATAGCGATTCCCGCAAGCTAGGTCCCATTCGGTAGCAAGGGAAGAGATCTCAGACATTCCAGTGGTAAATTCTGCTCCTGGACAAATAGAACCATCTTTATCACAGCAGCTTGGATGACTTGAGTTGCAGTGTAAAATATCGCCATTTGGCGAGGGACATTTCCATTCAGGGACCGCTCCAATGAAAACTACAATCAGCATTTGAGAGGCGAGAGGAACAGAAATGAGGCTCACAATAAAGTAAATCCGTGTTTGATGGCGGCCAAACTCGCCGACGTGTTCTAAAGCGGTATCAAAGTCCATTGTTTTTCTTATTTCCGAAATGTAGCAGTTACCTCTTGATACAATTAAAATTCAGAAAATTCATATTGGTGGTTGAATGTTTTGTTTGGTTGCCACGATTTTTGTCCGCACGTCTAAATATTTTCAAATAGGCCAGTCCGGGTTTCAAAAACCCTCACTTTCAAAATGAGGTCAAGTGCACTGTCTTTCTTGTGAAAATGAGTTTTATTTGCATGAAAATGAACAATCATTTCAGAGCATAGTTAGAGTTACCGTTTAGAGTACCACCGTGTCACGTAACCAACAAGTCGGCCTACCCAGTTCACCTTGCGCGCTTCGGACTTAGCCTAAAACGTGACACTTTGATCTTGTTGAACTCACAGTGCTTAGATCTCTTCCGAAAACATCATGATAGAGGCACCACCATGAGTATTGTGAGAGAGTATTGAGTATCAAGAACATAAAGAGGTAATTATTGAGACAAAACATTGCTGAACAGGGGCAGAACTGACCATAATAGCAGATAAAATTTGATACTGCTGAACTGAACAGTTATCCTAGAGAACTCATTATCATGACCAAGATCTTGGATTTTGACTCTGCGTTACAACACATCGGAGAATTTGGCCGCCATCAAAAGAAAATCTATCTCCTGGTTAATCTGATCTCTATTCCTTTTTCTGCTACAATGTTGATTATCGTTTTTGTTGGAGCCGTCCCCGAATGGAAATGTCCTTCACCGAGTGGCCCATTGTCACACTGTAACTCAAGCCATCCTGGTTGTTGTGATAAACACGGTTCTCTTTGTCCTGGAGCGGAATACACATCAAAATTTACTTCCATCGCGGGCGAATGGAACTTAGTTTGTGACAGTCGTTACAAAACTGAGCTGACTCAATCAATCTTTGTGGCTGGACATATGTTTGGTGGTCTCATCTTTGGTATTTTGTCTGATAAATATGGACGTCGAAGACCTTGGCTTTTTGTGTACTTTGCAGGTTCTATTTTAGCTCTTATGTCTAGTGTAGTATCATATTACGAGGAATTCCTGGTCTTGAGATTTGCTATGGGTTTGTTAAATGGTGGAGGGGGTCTAACAACATACGTGATTTCAACAGAATCAATTGGACCAGCTTATCGAGGTGAGCTGATTGTATAACATTACAACCTGGTGAGATCTGAAAATAAATTATTACAGGGTGCAAAGAAAGTCAGTTTTATGGCTTGCCATTCAGGCAAGTTGTTGAACAGCATTGATTACAGTTCTTCTGTAATTTGAATTTCCCCCAAAACTTCACCTGTTAAGAACAGGATTCACTAGCCCGATTGCAAAATCCGCTAGCCCTGGGCTATCGGACATGACTTTCTTTACACGCTGTATTGGAACTTTATGTTTGAACCAGGCCTTAGGAACCTGGAGGGGAGGGGGTACTCGACCAATACTTGGGTATAGGTGAGCTGTTAAGGGTTTGAAACCCTGATGCCATTTAGGACAAAAAAATTCCTTAAATACATACCCTGTTTAGGACAACACCCTCGATATTATTACCCTGTTTAATTTAGGACAAAGGACAAAATGCACTCCAGAGCAAATTCACATTATAGTCATTGCTTTTGTATACTTGCAGTACAAACAAAATTCATCTAGCAAATTGAATCAATCTTGCCGGTAATACCCTGTTGACAGACTGACACAAAATTATATACCCTGTTTAGGACAGACTCATATAAAATTATGTACCTTGTTTAGGACAGAGACTAAGGTAAAAAACCATGCCCTGTCTAGTGGCACATCCCCATATAGGCCATTTAAGGGAGTACCCCCTGCCCTCGGCTTAGGAATAAGTTTTTGTGGGCACTTTGATGTGTAAATGTGTCACTCACTCCCACATTCACTCACTACAGTGGATGCCTGTTAATATGGTCACTTGGCCGTATTACCGGGCACGCTCAAATTTCATGACTTGCAAGCTGTAATGACAAATACACCATACATCATCAAGTAATCGAAAAGCCACTTAAAATTTTCCTTCGGTACTTGAAAGTCTTTTAAAATTCGGCTATAAATTGCCGCAAGCGAATTTTAAGTGTACTGTAGTCGAAAAACAGTACAGGAATGAGCTCAGATTGATATGTCACAGGCATTTTAATTTTCTAAGTTTCAAACGAGTAGCCATATTAACGGGGTGAAATTATAAGAGATTCTGCTGTTTGTGATTTTCAAATGTGGCCGTTGGCCGTATCAAGGGAGTTTTTCATAAGTAAATGTATGGCTGTTTTGCCTGGCTGAAAAAAACTGGTATAATAACAAGGTGACCTTACGACTGAGGTGGCCGTAGGCGGGGTTCCACTGTAACATTTTTACACTGTTTTTTTAATTTATTTTAGCAACAGCTGGTACGTGGCTACATGCATTTTACAACATTGGTTATGTGATCCTGGCTCTTGAAGCATATCTCATTCGTGATTGGAGGACACTGACAGTCATTTCAGTTCTTCCTTATTTCATTTTAATACCGTTTGTTAACAAAATCCCAGAATCTCCAAGGTGGCTGGCTTCACAAGGCCGAACAAGAGAAGCAGAAACCATCATGAGAAAAATTGAAGCAGAAAATGGCTACCACAATAGTGACAAGATAATTTTGAAAACAGAGACAAAGCATGGTGTTGAATCATCCCAGTATGGAACAATGGACTTATTTACTCACAAGTCAGTATTTATTATAACAATAATTATGATGATAACATGGTGTATAAATAGTATGGTGTATTATGGACTTGTCTTAAATGTCAAAAACCTTGAAGGAAGCCTGTATGTTAACTTTGCACTTGGCAGCCTGATTGATCTACCCTTATGTGCTGCAACACAGTTTCTCCTTTCATGGCTTGGGCGTAGACAAAGTTTAATTTGTCTTTTTATTGTTGGGAGCATGTTTTGTTTCTTGTGTATGATTTTTCAATCTCAAGGTGGACAGAATGTAGCTGCCATTTCCACAGCAGCATTTGGTGGCAGGTTTTGTCTATCTGCCTCATTTGCTGTATTGTATGTTTACGCTTCAGAACTCTTCCCAACTGTAGCTCACAGTGCAGGTATGGGTATATCAAGTTTGTCTGCCAGGATTGGTGGAATTATTGCACCCTTTATAGTCCTGTTAGGGGATCATCATATTTTTTTGCCCATGTTTGTTTTTGCATGTGTTGCCTTGTTTGCTGGTGTTGTAGGTTTGAGACTTCATGAGACAAAAGGAAAACCATTACCAGAGACATTTGAAGACCTTCAGTGATAAAAACTAATATTATATAGTCCTTCTCCCTGGTTCAATGTATCTTTCTTTGTTTTTTTTTGTTGTTGTTGTAACTAAAAATTTTCTATGCAGTAATATTGGTATTAGCTCTGACGTTGTCAGCTTTTATCTGTCAATCACTCAACTGTAATATAATTAATAGTGGGAAATATACCTTAAACCTGTAAAAACCAAACAAAAGTCTTGAACTGTGTGCAGCTACAAAGACAAGAAAATTTTTTCACATGGTCAATAACAGACTAATCATTACATGCTGATTTTGAGGCTTTGTTTTTGTAACTTGTTAACAATAAAATAGTAAACAGCAAGTGATTTCATGCAGTAATTTATTTATCCTCAGCTGTCATCAGTAGTCACATTGCATCTTTTGGTTGCTTACACTAACAACTTTTTAATTTCATTAAGTACATTGCTGTCACTCAGAATTTTAACGTGGTCCACTCCATGAAATTCCTTAAGAATAACGCTTTGATCCTGCTGGTCTTTCCATATGTTACAGGCCTCCAGGCTGCGCCGATTCACCGTCCCATCTCCATCACCATATATTATTTCCGGTTGATGATCCGGGAACTCTCCTTTTTCGTACACAAAGCTTTCTGCAGTATGCACCCCTGTGCCATACAAACAATGAAGCTGTACCTTAGGAGCATGCGCTGACAATGGATTAAGTAGATTTTCGACCATTTTTCTCAGCTTAATACCTTGCGGATAGCCCATATCTTTAAATAAGTCTTCGTAGTCATTCACTGTGTAGCTGCGTTTGGAGGTCTTCACTAAAACTTCATCCGGGGACCATAGCTCTGGATTGGGCATCAGCATTGCGTTACTAGTTGTGGTTCTTTGTTGACCACGCACGTCTAGTGGATCTACAAATAGATGAGGAATACCAAGCGTATATCCAGAAGTTAAAACTTGCATCATCTCTGCTACTCCACCAAGGGCGCCTATTTAAAGTTCAAAATAAACAAAAGAAAAGTTAGAATACAGCCTAAAATGATGCACACAATTCCCGGAAGTAATTAAATTTTCCTTAATATTAGCATTTCGTTTTACGGCCTCCCTACTTTGAATTACTAACCATTCAAAGAAATCCATTGTAGAATGTGTTTGTCCTTCCAGTCTTGACTTTGTTTATTCAAGAAAACCAAAGTGTACGGTCCTCCGAGACTGTGACTCATCAAAGTGATCTTCCTGTTGCCGTTGGCTGCGTATGTTTCCTCAACAAGTTTCTTCAGTTTTGAAAAATATTCCGATGCTGATTCTAAAGAGGATTGACAAAGAAAAAAAGCAATTGAATTAAGGGAAACTTAATGTTTTAAGTTGTATTTGTTGGACCAACCACCCTTGAACAATTATCGTTGAGAAGCATTTCTGAAAGACGCAACTCATTCCTCCTTTAATACCGAAAAGGACAGCAACATCAAGTAAGTCCGCTCCAAGTCATTCTCTAACATGCCCAGGGAAAATACAAACTGCCCGATGGACGCTTTCAAGGCTGGAGGTTGAGTTCGGGCCATTTTTGCGAGGAAAATAAAAGGCGTCTTCGAGATGCGTTAACAGGAGAGTTCGTGTCTATGAAGGTATGTGAATTTCACCAAAGTTATTTTTAGACCAATAAAACGCTTGAAATCAATCGGAGGTTGTTTTCCAGAGAGGTCCGCACATTTTTATTCAGTGTTGTCAAGAGAGAATAATAGGACATTATGCTTTCTTGGTATGTCACCATGACAATATTCTGCATTGGCGCGTGGATTTGATTCACGTTTAAAACAAGCAATTAAAATGTCCCAGGAATAAGACTTCTGTCAAATTACGAAATTCACATATCGCGGTCAACGCTTATTTCTTCATCAAGTCTTATTTTTGCCGTATAACTGATCCTAGTATTTAAAGACAATATGAATTAAAGTGCACACTAGCAACTTTGCTCCACTGCCGGGGTGATATGGTTGACTTGTGCGCATGCGTACTGGCCATACCGCAGAGTTGGTAAGAGTTGGTAGTGTGTGCTTCAGTTCATATTGGCCTAGTATTTATGGCGGCTTTTAGGAGATACAGACCACGGGTAGACTCTAAACTTTTGCAAACGTTTGTTTTAGTTTTCATCAATCATAACAAACATTCAACAAAGAGTACAAAGGTTAACACTCTTAGTTGCCTCCAACTGGAGAGGGTGAGTGAGAGTCACGTGATTTTACTTACCAGGCCCATATCTGAAGTCATAAGGCGCTCCTCTAACAGAAACACCTCGTTCATACCCCAACGTGACCAGAGTATCCACTATTGACTTGAAATACGCAATCAAATTCTGTGTGTCCAAGTACTCTATTGTTTCAGTTGTGCCAAAACCAGGAACTCTTGTTTCGACACCGGGCGCATTTTTCACCGTATTGGTCCTTTCATCGTAAACTAGTCTGGTATTGTAAAGGAGAAAGTTTAGAAGTAAGTCTCGGGACCTTGGGTTGATGATACTAAAACTTTTTAGTTATAGAAATCTCTCTAGAAGTGTTTCAAAAGCCTTTGTTTGACTGAGGCCTGTGTTTTAGGTTCTTAATGAGTAAACACTTTGGGTCGGTTATTTAAAGGAAGTTCAACTTAGGACGGAGTTTAAGAAATCATTAAATCTCCAGATCTAAGTGGGTTATTTAAGCTTTCTACACTATGCTTTCATTAAATTGCTCACGACAATCGGGGTTCAGATCAAAGCGCTGGGCAAACTGAAAATGCTTTAGAACGCAGTTTGTTCAATACGGGTTAATTAACCGGTCCTTTGTTTTTGTTTAAGCGGGTAATTTTTATGACTTATCATTCTATTCAGAATGAAGAGTCAAGCACTAGTTTTCCTTGTGTATTTCCCTGCTTATATTTGCTATCCCTATTACCCTATAAAAAGAACTGTTTTTGCCATTTCTTATCGCCGCTTACTCTTCTTTATTCTTCAAAGCGTTTGTGAGGGGACTCACCGCATGTTATCTGTCCAGCAATTTATAGAGTAAGGAAGAAGCGATGACTTTTGGAGCCACAAAGTAAAGTATTCGGAAGTTTTTTGTGTGCAGTACCAAGCGATAACGCTTGGTTTGTTTAGCTTTCCTTCAATCTGACTACCACCTGACCCAGGCACTGAAACAAAATTAAAACAAGTGAAACTGTTAATGTCTGACTAAAACTTGAACCATAGGTCCAAGTATTCGTAGCTTAAAATTTACATGTATTTGACTGCTTAAAATTGGCAACTGTATTGGGGGAATCAAATAATTTTTGTCTGGTTTGGTGATTATACGCTGAATTTTTCCTTAAAAACAAGTCTCTACTTTGTTCCAAGACATTCGCTGCAAAGAGGAAAATGAAGACTTCATGGGGCTATAGGATCGAAGGAAGCAAGCTACTAAGAAGATAACAAGAAAAACGGACTGATAATGATCAAATTATTTACCAATAATCACCGGTGTCTTGATATCACCAGCCTTTAATTTCTTTGGCAGTGCTGCTTGTTCTTCTGAGGGGTTTTTCTTCCTTCCCTCGGCGCAGAAAGACAGCATCATAGCCAAAATAACTGCGCGAAAAAATATATTTCCACCCCTCATTTTGTGAAGTCTTCTGTTAGAATATTCCGTCAAATGAAAAAATAGTGACCGAGTTTTGCTGTCTTGTGCGTTTTGTTGGAACCGCAGCAAAGTTTTTCCTCCAATCACTAACTAGACCCAGTCCTTATACGCTCAACTTTTGAAGTTCATTGAGGGACAGTTTACCCATTGAAATTGAAATTTGGATATAAGTGAAAAGTTTACAAAAGGACTATTATCTTTTTATGAGAAAGGTAACAGCTAAGAAAACTTTATTACAATTCCTTTGTTGAGAGTTTATGATATAATGAAAGTTCTAAGCTGTGCAATTAGTGGAAGTGTTAAATTAATACCACTGATCAATCAAAGAGGCATTACTGTTCAGATGAATTACTGATCCAAAGATCGCTGATATTTAGAGATCGTATTATCGTAAAGTCACCATCAACCTCAACGTAATGAGAATAAATTTACTAATAATTTGATTCTCAAAATCTACTTTTAGTCAAAACGGCTAAGACTCGGTTCTTTGCCTAGTTGGGTGTATAGAAATCGGGAACAACTACCGGCCCTCATATTCTTTCTCTCTTTGTAGACCTTTCCAGCACCGGCCGTTTAAAAATAAGGGAAAATAAGCGCAAAACACCGATCGTGCAGTTCTAAGCATAAACTGATATCCCAGCAGAATCAGACCTCCAAGGAAAGTCAGAGTGGGTTTTAGGTGTAACAATGACAAGGACAATTTCAGTTATAAGGATTTATTTATTGAATGTTTATTCGACTACAAATTGAATAACATTTTATTGTAACAATCTTTTCCAATCAAGATAACTTAAACCACCGCCTCTCTTAATACTCTTTCACTTTAAAAACCCTTAAACAGTTTCAGTTTACTGTTCTTCAAAAATAAGGTGTGGTACAAACAAAGCTTATTTCTTTGTGACTCATGGGTGTTTCATTAGATCTCACTTCTTTTTATAAACTTCCCTGTTTCAGCTAAACGTTTCTTTTTAGATGTATATTCTCAGAACAACAGAGTCTTGACATAATTATGCGCATTTTCATTACTCAAAATCCCATTGTGATTCACAGAGGGATATTGCTTGAGAGTAACATTGTAAGCCTGCCGCTGGTTCCACTTATTGCAGGCTTCCAAGCTGCGTATATTAACTGTGCCATCTCCGTCCCCATAAGTCACCTGAGGTTGAGTATCCGGGAACTGTCCTTCACCAAACGTGAAACTCTCAGCGGTCTTCACGCCAATACCGTATAAACAATGAATCGTCACATTTGGAGCATGCGCAGTTAGTGGATAAGTGATGTTTTCTACAAGGTTTTGCAGTGTTATACCAAGAGGGAAGCTAATATCTTTAAAGAACTCATCATAGTCATTCACAGTGTAACTACGTTCCGGTGTTTTTGCTAAAATTTCTGCGGATGACCACAGCTCGCGGCTCGGAAGCAAGTAGGTGTTGCTTGTGCAAGTACGTTGTTCACCTCTGACGGACAGCGGGTTTACAAGGAAGTGTGGGATACCAAGCGTATTTCCTGAGGAGTACAGACTGATCTGCTCTGCCGTGCCGCCCCAGACTCCTATAGCGGATGAAGTTAAATATATTTAAAAATAGTTCATACATTAAGATGTACTGTTTCTTTACTTAAACTATGATTTGATTTACAAATTACTGTGACGAAATTTTGGTGCGAAAATATGCGAATCGATGATTCAGAAGTTGGTCGCCGTTAGTTCTGCAATTTAGTGAGCTTAATGCATTTTTCG